AAATAATTTAATATATTCTTCTTTGATTATTAATTTATTTCTATTATATTACATTATCAAATTTATATATTCATTATTCTTCATTCATTATTTCATTTATTCATATATTTTATATTAATAAATCATAAATATAAACATAAAAACATAAAATAAATATAAAAAGAAAGTAAAAAATAAATAATAAAGAGAATAAAGAAATAATAAAAGAAATACAAGATAAAGAATAAAAACATAATAAAAATAAATAAGATAAATAAATAAAGAAAAAGTATTTAATTAAAAAGATGAAGAATAAAATTACAAAGAAATAAAAATAACATTAATAAATTCATGAAACAATAAACAAGAAGAAATTGTATAATAATATGAATAAAAAATGATTAAATAATATAAATACATATGAATATGAAATGATAATAAAAATAAGAAATAAAAGAAACATTAAATATAAAATCAGAAATATATAAACAATAAATAAGAATAAAATAATAATTGTATTTATTAGATTTTCATTAACAAAATAATAGAATGAATATAAAGAAATGAATGAAATAAATAGAATAGATAAAAGAATGAATATATTGAAAGAATTAAAAGAAGATAATATTAGATAAATAAAATAATAAATAAAACATAAATAATTAAATATATAATAAAGAAACTACAACATCCATCAAAAAGAAATAAATATAATAAGAAATAAGATAAAGAAACAAAAATAAATGAAATAAATAAGAAAACAACATTCAAAATAAAAATGATAATAAATCAACAAGAGAATAAGAAGTAAGATAGAAAGAAGAAATAATAAAAACAAAGAAGAAATAAATCAAAAGAAATAAAGTATTTACAATATAAATAACAATAAAAATAATAAAAATAAAAGATATAAAAACAAGATAAGTGAGAACATGAAATACAAACAAAGAATAATAAAAATATAATAGATAAAAGAAATAAAATAGAACAAAGAAATAATAAGAAAAGAGAAAAAAGAAATAAATATAAAAGAATAAAAAGAACAGAAACAGAATATAGAGAAACAAGAAGAATAAAGAGAATAAAAATAAATAAACACAATAATAAATGATATAAAGAGAAATAGAATAAATATAAGAAATTAATAACAAATAATAAAGATAAGAAGAACTAAAGAAATAAGAAATAAAAGAAGAAATTAAAGAAATAAAGAAACATAAAAAGAAATAAGAATAATAAGAATAAAAGAAGAGTTTTAGATAATAAAAAAGAAATAATAATAATAAATAGAAGAAAATAAACATAAATTAAAACATAAGAATGAAAACAAAAAAAAAATAAATAAGAAAAAGAATAAAAGAATAGAAGAAGATAAAGTGAATAAAGAGAAATAAAATATAATAAGAATATAAGAAGAAAAGAAAGATATAGAAAGAAAATAAGATAAAATAAAGAATAAAGAAAAGAAATAATAAATAATCAACAAAAACATGGGAAATAAGAGATAAATAAAAATAAATAATAATAAATAAAGAGATAAAGAAAATATAAAACAAGAAATAAGAAAAGAAGAAAAAAAAGAGAAGAAATGATAAAGAAAATAAGAAAGAAGAGATAAATGAGAAAAGAAAAGGTGTAAAGATATATAAATAGAAATAACAAAAAGAAAATAATAATAAAGAAAATAAAGAAGAAATGAAATAAAGAATAAGAAAGATAAAATAAAGAAGAATAATAACAGAATAAAGAAGATAAAAGAGGAAAAGAAGAATAAAATAATAAAAGAAAAGTGTAATAAAACAAAAAGAAAATATAAGAAATAAAAGAAGATAAATAAAAGATAAGATAAAATGAATAAAATAAAAGAAGATAAATAATAGAAGAATAAGAAAATAAGGAAAATAAAGATAAAAAGAAGAAATAAAAGATAGAAATGAAATAATAAAGAGAAGAACATAATAAAAAGATAAAGAAGAAATAAAAAATAAGAAAAACAAAGAAGAAGAGAAAAAGAAATAAAGAAATAAAGAAAAAGGAAGAAAAGAAGAAATAATAAGGTAAAGAAAGAAGGAATAAAGAAATAAAAAAGAAAAAGATAAAAAGAAAATTAAAAAAAGATAAAAAGAAAATAATAAAAAATAAAAAGGGTAAATAAAGATGATAAAATTTATAGTAAAAATAATTATAATAAAATTAATAAAAAACACCAAAGATTAGTATAGTTTCTTTTTTCTATTTCATAATACACAAATGAAATTACTTCATTCACTCTTTATTAAACAATTTGATTGATTATGAAATACTTTTATAATTGTACAACTCACTTCTATGATATCAACACTATTTCATTGTATCATTCATATTCATTATTTATTATATCATTTACCATTAATTCATAATGAATTTTACATTAATCTTTTTATATTCATATACATATTCATTAATGAATAAATTAATTAATTATAATAATAGAATTACTTTTACTTCAAATAAACTATTAATTTAACATAAATTGTTATAGAGACATTTATATAAATCAAAATTAGTAATAAATGTATGATTTATGAATTATCATTTAGTATTATCATATCAATTATTAATCATATTTATTTTATTTATAAATGTAGAATATTTTAAGAATATTCAAATTTATTAATTAATTGATGAATTAATAGAATGAATACATCATTACTTTATATTCTTATTTAGAGTTTACCAATTTCAAAAATAAAGAAGAATAAATTCATTTTATTCTCTCTTGTTTTCTTCATTATTTCATTCATTAGATTTATTTTATATTTTAATTTAACACAACTCAATATATATTGAAATAATAAAACATGAATAACCAAATGTAGAATTATTTAGAATAGAAATTAATAATATCTGATGTATTATTACTATCTTAACATTATAAATACTACATCAATTCAGAATAATATTTCATATAAATTTTACATTAATAAATCATACAAATATACGAAATTCTTTGATTAAATTTAATTGTTTATATTCATTTGAAAATTATAATAATAAACAAGAATATTTTAATTGGTAAATTGTTATTATTTCATAATCAAAGTAATTTAATAAATGACTACTTA